TGATAGACATCATAGACAATTTTCGTGTATTTCGTCATCGTGGGGTGATTTTAAAGAATCATTTGAAATGGAACTTTTAAGTGAAAATTTTAATGAAACGACCCCCTTTCAAAATATGCCCCCTTAAGAATTCACTAACTGCCAATTAGAAATACATGTATAAGCGTTTTAACTCCGTTTGATTTTTTTGGGGTATAATCTGGAGAAAAGCTCCATTTGGCGTTCTTTTGATTTATATGTCTACCGGAAATGACATACGGAGGTCAAACGATTTGACCTGGTCTATTTGGAACGTGACAAGTGGCCACAGGTGTTACAGATACCGGATATCAAAACACAAGATTCTACTAAATTTAACAGCAACTAGAAGATTCTAGCATATATATGGCTAATATACGAGTTGTTATAAATTTCTTTCTCATATAAAGAAGGCCTCGGGGTTTCATTCTGACATATATATTTTACTTAGATCGTGTTTTAAAAAATAAATCTTGCAAAAAGTTAAAATGGAAATAAGAGAACCACAGCAGTGGTGTTTTGATAATATTCCGAATTCTATCAATTAAAAATACTTCCGGTCAAATAAAGTTGTATAATCACTATTTACTTTTGTAAAACACATTTTTTTAGTTTTTGATACACCTGGTAGTCGTTCAAGTGGGACGAAAACCCGATATCCTGTCTACGTGCGCGTACAATAACCATTGACAGTTGGAATTCCTTATAAAAGCAGGCCGTGGCGACACTGTCCGGGCAAAATGACCCTCATACATGTAGGACACATCATGGCGTATGCCTGTCTTTATTATCCCCGTCAGTGCAGAAAGTAGGACGTTAAACCTCATTTCATTTCATTTGATACATCTGGTCAGTCATTTCAATACAGGTAGTTCATTATTTCTTGGTCGACAGATTTGACTTAAAGTACCAAAGATACCACCCGCCAAATACTTTCTTTGGCTAGAAACACAAATTATAAACATGGACATTCGATAGGATCTGGCAGTTCAATCTAAATTATGTAATTTCATTTTATTTGCCCGGAATTAATAATCTCTAATTTTAATCATAGGCTACCAGATTTTCGGCAGGGTGTGGGCCACTAAATCATTAATTTGCAAATTATACAAGAATGAGTTGTGTTCGTTTACTATGAAGATTGATATAACTATTTGAGTCTTTGTAATCGTGACACAATGTGGTAAGTTTGTTTTCCCAGGCTATCGTGTGTAAGAAGCGGGTATTGGGTTTAGTAGAAGAATAACAATTAATTAGAGAGGAGAAGTGTTTAAGGCAAACAAACCGTCAACACCTGCACTAAGCTTATGGTAAGGGAAGTCCATAGCTTAAATACTAAACTCTTGGCACTGCTTAATTCTTGTTCCTAACATTTAAGTAATTCATTTGGGACTGGGAGTTAATAACTATTGAAGGCAATCCTGACATTAAGGGTAGCGTGGGGGATCAAAGGATTACAAAATAAGGAATCATCTTGAAGTGAAAAATTTTAAATTTGCTTTATATTTGTAAATGTATTTTAATTTTACGCAAAAATCGAAATTACAATAATATTCGATCATAGCCTGTAGTCGACTGCATAAATCAATGAACGAGTTATACAAAATCGAAAATTGACAAGTGTACTTACTATCTTGATCTACTACAATAACTACAGACGCGGAAACAAGATAAAATCCCTGTTTAATTACAATCACATATGTTACCTTAATCATGGATATTAAAATCTATTTTGGAATCCATAATCATGGTTTAAAGCAGCTGGATCGCAACTGATTTTGAGAATGCTTAGTCTTTAAAGGATATTGAGTCGCTACTGATATTAAGGATGCTTAGAGACACAATTTTTCAGTCTAAATGGAAATCGTACACTTTCAAATCATACTTGATAAAAAAGGTAATTTTACCACAATTATTAAAAGCGATCAATCCTAAATGAAGCTACATGTTTGGCTAATTTCATTACCTGCCGTCCCCTTAGTAGATCCTTAGTCTATATCTAAACTATGTTTCATTTGTATTCTCGAACATTGAGAATAAGGGGACATTTAACTAAATTTGTTGTTGCATTCGGTAATTTTGTTAAATCTAAATAAGGAAATGATTATATGCCTTCTGGTCAATGGAGACTTTAAAGGATTAAATTTTGCCTGAAAGATTTACAATGCCATCTCTCGGAGGAAATTGAGAATTAATGTTTTGGTGAATAACCACGGAAGCCAAGCGATAAAAGGTCATCCAGTCTCTGGTTGTCTTCATCCATAAAATCTATTGTCCAGGCATGCTTGGTTGACTGAAATCAACTTTTCTGTTAAGATTTCCCCATTTAGCGAGCCAAGCACTGTTTCGAGAACGGTTATTGTATATCAATGTAAACGGCGCAATTACTTGGATAATAAATATGGTGGCCAGAAGTGGAACGGTTCCCAGTTCGCTACGGTTATCGCGACCAAGTGTCAACGAAGCTTAAGTGACAGGGATTAATTAAGACGAAGACGATTAGTTTTTGACGCGATTGTTGATCGGGTGTTAATCCGGTTTCATTTTGATTAAAGAAATTACTAGTAATAAACTGGATGGGTATTAAAACGTTAATTAATGTTTTAGTGAAATGATATTACCAAAGTTTACATTATTATTCATAATTATATATAAGAGAACTGGGCATAACATTATACATACTGTGTTTATGATTGTAAAGAACGTTCTCTATAAATAATGTATAACGTTCCCTATAGATAACGTTCACTATAAATAATGTATGTATACATCCCTATAGATAACGTTCACTATAAATATTGTATAACATCCCCTATTAATAATGTTTAACGGTATGTATAACGTTCACTAGAAATAATGTATAACGGTATGTATGGCGTTCACTAGAAATAATGTATGACGGTCGCTATAAATAGTGTATAACGTTCCTTATAAATAATGTATAATGTTCACCATAAATAATTTCTTTGTTGATATAAACACCGTTGACAGCAAATAATGTGTTTATGATTGTATATAACTTGTCGGCGATATAACTTCGGTGGAAACGGACGTTAAATAAACCTATTTAACCCACATTGTAAATTCCCTATAAATAGTGTATTTGTTGCGCACATGTAACCACATACAATTTTAAACTTCTTTAATTTTCATAAAATACAACATTGAAATGTAGCGTACATTGTAGCTTTATTATTGTCGCAGGATAGAATATGGTGAGCTGTTATTGTACTTTTTTTTTGTTGGAATATACAGTCTAGTACGTTATAAATAATGTATTTGTGATTGTTACTGTTAACATGATAATTTATTGTCAATAGACGATATGTTAGTGTGTTAGAGCACTCTAATAGATCTTTAATGATTTCCTTTTCACCGCACAGAGTGGATCAAAGCTGGTAAGATTGGTGAACCCGTGCTCATCTCCTTAAAAAATGTGTTTAAGAAATCGAGAAATCGGTATAGTAATTTAGAATTTAGTATGATGAGTCTAGCAGGACTCTTACTTCTCAATGCATTGTTGATTCAACGAGAACAACATTCATCCCTTCCCTTCTAACTCCCGTCCTCGCAATGTGTAGAATTCTTAATATTATTTTCTAAACGGAAAAATGAACGTTTAAACCCGCTCAGAGGCGGTATAGCAATCAGAACTCAACGAACTTCAACGCATGCCATAAAAATTTCACTGAGTTTAAAACTAAGTAGCGTATTTTGTTTGAGATAGAGTTAACCTTTGTTCTGAAACAGACACAGGTTTTTTTTGTGAAGCTAACGATGTTCTATCTCACTTACAATCATGTAAATGTTCTACCAAATGTATTATTTGTGATAATTTCCTTTTTTTTATCGGGGAACTTTGTCTATAGTGTATATTTTATGGATGCCAAAAGCAGTTTATTATCTTCAAACCTAATCGGTCATGGTTTATATATATTATTATTGTGTATGATCTATAAGGGTTTGCATCAGGGAGGTAGACCTGTATGTACCTGGTATATTTATATCCAGAAATAGCGGGGTGGGGGAATCTTACAGTAGATGTGATTCAGAATTGAAAACTATCAATACTTAATCACGAAGACTGAATACAATCGTAAATTCTTTACACTTAGAGTCACTAAATACAAGATTGTTACGTATTCATAAAAGGAATAATTGGGCTATTTGTCTTTACCATATTTGAAATATAGAATGATATCTCATAGAATATACTAATAAGTCCCTGTACTAAAATATCGTATGAAATAAATATGTTTTAGAGAGTAGAATAAATAAAAAAGATCTTCTGAAGTGTCTAGATTTTGTTCTTTGTACTAATCTTAATAAATGTCTTTATATTTAAGTAAAGATTCTATCAAGTTTTTATTTATTATTATTTCTTACAATAATTTGTATTGTTATAAAATTATCTAAATACAAAATAAAGTATATAATATTATTGGTAAATAAACTGGTTTATCGGTACAAAGTTTGTCTGTAGAATATTGACCACTGGCAAAGATATCTATCTATTATTGTGGGACGAACTCTTCTAACGTTTTCAATTGTTCAGGACAATGTATTGTCAAGCATGTTACTTTTATTCGGTTCTAACTTCATTTTGCTATAGTAACTTTCGATTATTAATTACATTAGTCACTGAGAGATAAACGGGTTGCACTATGTGGCAGTCTTGTGGACGCGTCTAATAGATAAGAAGAGATGTCAGATATTCGGATAGAGCAAATGCAGTGATAACCCCTTTCTTTTAAATATATACCTTTTGGATATCCAAGAGGTACGGTTTGGGGGGGGGGTCACCACGTATAAACAATTACACAAGACAAACCTACGGACAGGACACTACTTTGTAGATATACACATACACCTCAACAACAAACGTATATATATATATGAGATGAAGTGAATGAACCCGTTGAGATCAAATTTGTCACAAGAAGATTTCAGCGTACTAAATTAGAATTTAAGATTTTACTTACCTTATAAATTATAGTTTTGGGTTTTTCGTCAATGACCCGAGACGTTCCAAGCACCTTCCATTCTCCAAACAGAAAAAGCATAACTAAGTCTTTCATGTGCCACATAACTACAACTCGTGGAGTTTGGTTTTGTTTCAATAAGTTCGTCATTTCGAAGCACTTGATATAAAAAGTCAATATATCTGGAAGCTAGTTTTAATGTTTGCATTTTGCTAAGTTTATCTGAAGGTAAAGTGGGGATGATTTTTCTTAACTGTGTGAAGGCGTCATTCAGTGACTGTGTACGTTGTCTTTCGCGGACGTTCGCCGTAACTCTCTGTTGCTGTACATCTTCGAAATTTCCTTGTTGTTTGCGTCGTTGGCGTTTACCGGATCTTCCTCCATCTGAACTAGACGATCGTTTACGCGACAAGCTACCACCCTTAGCACTGCCCATAGAGTCTGGAGACCCCGAAAAATCACCACTATAATCCCCTTCTCCCGTATGATATCCCCCTTCCGCCGACCCATATCCCTCTAGAGAATGATGGTAGCTGTTTTCCGAATGATCGCCCTCTGATCTGGAATCTTCTGACTTAATTAAACCGTCGTCAATTTTGGGTTGCTCGTGGTGATGCTCCATAGTGTTGTTTAATACGACTGACGTCTGCTCGGGCACCATTGCTAAATACATATATATGTCTCTTTTACTTCCTATGTACACAACACTGAAATATATTTATATATGTATATATATATGTATATACCAGGACGAACAGTCTATAGACAGAATCACAGCACACGAAATGATATTTCAAAACGCACTTTAAAAAACACAGAACAGTTCCAAACGCTAACAAAACTCGAACTGTGGTGTCAGCTTACACTGTATATCAGTAGACTGTAAACGTAATGGATATATATCTATCTCTATGCTTGGCTAATAAACCTATAAACACCGTTCACTGCTAGAACTATAGTTGTTCTAGTACCACTAAAAACTAAACTAAAAACACAAGTCAAACTGTCTTCTATCGGTCAAACATATCGCTAAAAGGTCATCGTATACTAAAAGAAGCTCTGCTGTAATGAGTTCAATGCCGTTGTCGTGTCGAAAGGTTCTAGCTTCTGTATTTATGTACAATTTCCCAAGATCCCTCGTCAGGCTAGCTTCACTGCTAAGGGGGTGGAATTAACTGGCAGCAAAACGTGCCAATCAAAAGACAGACAGGGCTTGGAGTATTGGGTTACACTTTTGGCAATACCTCGCCTGTAGTTGATGGAATAAGAAGGGTATCGTCATGCTACCAAGCACAAAGGCCATATACATTATAAACCCAGTCATGTTATTGTTGTCCAGTCCCACTAGGTCCTATATGTCTTTTATTACTCAGTGAACGACTGATTTAATCAAGACTATTTTATAATACCTAACGATTAAACAAGACGTATTTACAAACTTGTGTACTATAAAATGGTTTCTGGTTTATTAATATAAATGGCAAATGCCGCCTCGTTCACAAATAAAAAAAATACAAGCCGTTGCTTTTTAATTATTTTACGACTTCCTTTCTGTGTGTAACTAGCAATAAACACAAAGTGTGGATTCTGGTTACACGCGTCTATTGTTTTGTGTACAGCCTCCACACATTCTTAACGACGTTGATTGTTACACGATCAAAGATTAAGGGGATTAACTAATCCTAAAAACACATGTTAATGATAAATTTAACACAACTTTTGATTTCAAAGTTATTTTAGTGAACAATATCTTATCCATGGCTTCTTAACTTACGACAAAAATGTTTCTGATTCTATCCCTTTGCTAACCAGATGAATATTGGAACTATTAAGGAGTATAGTCTATATTGTACATTTTTCAGTCAAATTCGAACTACAAGTTTAGTTACCGTTTATTTATAAGATGAAACTGGAAATTTTCAAACTATCAACTACAAATTAGCGTCCATGTATCTTATATTTCTAGAGTATCACCATAAATGGAGGCGGACATTAACCGTGGATATACTCTTAGAAAACATAATAATAAATTATTTAATTCTGTCTTCTCTGCCCTTCTTAGACTGTAATTGTCTCAGTAGTGAATAGCCAGTGACATTGTGTTATTTTTAAATGTACTTTATGGAATTTCAGTTGCTGGTCTGACAAAAGTCTTCCAACGCATTGCAAACTCAATTGTAAAAATAATGAACATTTTGAGTCAGTTTGAAATTCACCAAGATACTAAAATGTTGAATTGAAGCAACAGGAAACACTTAGTAATTCCATTTTCGTCGCGATTAGTAAATGGCCAAGACATTTCGAATAACATTCACACGAACTGTCCCGAACCACACATCACCTTTGTTCGTTGTAGGATGGGGGTGGTCATCAATAAGAGTTGAGGAGAAAATCGGATTCAAATCCAGTAAAAATCCAACACATAAGATAGCATCGAGAGTTGATTATGGTCTTTTCATGTTAATAAATATATCATTAATAGTTTATGTAACATTTCAGGCCCAACGAAAGACCCGCAATAGGCAAATTTAGCTCTTGCATAATGTATGTTTAATTGTAACAATGATTATTATAACAAGTGATTTTGTATACAGAGCGTGATATAACTTATTATATTTCATTTTGCTCTGGCGCCTTACGAAGTCAATTTTCTTAGGGACCAGAAAGAAGAGTTTAGCATAAATTTGCTATTAAATTAGGAAGTTAAACCATTTCATTTCATTTCATTTCATTGCAACACTAGGAAATACGGCAAAGCTTATTCAAACCGGAGATTGAGGATTATGAAACTACAGAAGTTGTGAATTGTATCTATACGGAATACCAGTTTTGTTGTTTTTCTGACATAAAGCACAGTTTTAAAAGAGATTAGAAGAGTTTTTGAAACGTTCAAGCCATTTCTTCTAAAAGCACGTGTGGTTTCTTCGCTCTATAATGTCCCTTCTCGCGTGAAATTGAAGAAGTTTTGTGTTTTTCTAGCCAGACATAAAAGACGAATTAGCTGTTTATTTTTCAATATCTCTCATGACAAGTTTGTTATTATTTAACTAGGGTTCCGAGGCCACGTTTGTTGCTTCAAGTAAAAATACATTTCAAATCTATATTACCAACCAACTTCTCCGTAGTTTGAGAGTCCAATACATTCGTAAATACGACACCCTTTCTCCAATGACTCTGCCATTTTTATTATATATTTTGAAATTTCAACATATCACAAACCCTCTGTGCTTATAATGTAACATAATAATCTTGATGGTTATGTAAAACTTTTGAACATGACAAATGCTAATCACGACTGTTTATAATTATTAGAATTTCTTCTTCTAATCATTTTTAGTTAACCCAATTTTTAATGTTTTTTCTTCTTTATTCAAATTTGAGTTAGAAAAAAAAATGAAATGGGGCTTAATGTCCCACTGCTCTACTCCGACTGGACTAATGAAGACGGGTATACGTCATACGCTATATAATGTGCTACGAGGAAATGTTGCCCGAATAGTGGCAACATACAGGATTGGAAGACCAAATGGTCTAAGTCATGCACTTTAGAACATAAGGTCTGTCATTGAGTCAAGTGGTATCGTTTTTATCCCCGGCTTATACTTGGGCTTTCTGTGGGTGCTCCGGTTTCCCCCACAGCTAAAAAAAAAGAAAAAGAAAAAAAACCCACGGGCGAGCGAATTATAGAAATGAAATTGAAGTATAAGTTTTATAAATGTTTATGTCAAAAAATCTATGATGTTTTATAAAAATAGAATTATCACGGAACCAAATAATCACGTCTTGAATCCATCAGTTAACTGTCATGATTATATTACGTCATAAGGTGGAAATAAGCTTCGATTTCCTTCTTTACAGATCTACTGGAATCTCCTAGAGTGACATCAATGTCAACTTTATAATCCGTCCAATTTACAAGTCAAAATATAACTCCCTGTAGAGAGATGGACTCGCACTTGTATCATATTTCACATATTATCTTCTTTCTTTTATTTTAAGGAAACAAAGCCAATTTTTTTTTAAGATAGAGAGTTAATATAGTGTTTAGCTTCCACTCGAAAGAAACCAGGTCATTTCGGGACTAACATATTTTAATAATTCGCTTAGGGGTCTTTAGCAATGGGAGAATACCTGCTGGACTCCGAAAAAAAAACCCACGTACAAGCGGGAAATCGAAACAACGCCACTTAACTCAATGACAGACCTTATGAGTTCACCACTAGACACCCCACCCCCAAGTCTTTTATAGAAAGTGAGTATAAATATTTGATATATAAATTGCAAGATAATATTTATTGAGGTGGTCAGCATTCTAAATCACATCCATTTTAGAGGATCCAAATTTAATCAGCTTCAGAATTATCAAACTATAATTTCCTGTAAGCCAATGACGACCGCCATACACCGGGCAAGGTATGCATGTTCTTCTAGAATAACATAAATATAGACTACCACTTGTTATTCTTTTAAAATATTTTTATTTCATATTATTATATTGTTGGTAACTACTTAGAATTTTATTATATACCCACGTTATGTCCAATGTACACGTGTAGTTAGTTATAAAATAACTATTACTTCTGGTAACTAGTACTGGTAACTGGTACACGAAGTTATAAAATAACTATCATTTCTAGTAAATATGACTGGTAACTGGTACACGAAGTTATAAAATAACTACCATTTCTGCTAAATGGTACTGGTAAACTATTAGTTATAATATTTCTGGCGAGCTCCTTTTATTTTATCACATCGCTACATATAATCAATGTACAAGTATTGATAAAATAACTAAAGAGGCCACGAATTCGGGCACGTTGTCACAGGTATTGGGACAGATAATCTTTGTCCTAGTGAACTAAGAATCGTCAAAACAAATATTTCAATCTAATCTTTAGTATCAAGAAATCATTAATATCATCTACCCGACCACCCCCTCACAAAAACACAAAAAATGAAAATAAAAAAAAGAAGAAGAAAAACACCCAAAATCTAGTTTTGTTTTGTTAGTTTTGATATATTCGCTTAATTATAGGAGTTTGGTAGTATTAGACTATTAGATGAGGTATTTGCCCCCCCCCCTCCCACATACACACCAAGAAAGACCGCCGCCCCCGACCCGCAAACCATCAAAAATAAAAGTCACTGTCGTTAACTTCACCTATATAATAAGCTAATATCCACAATTATCTGACTTTTATATTGATTTAAAATTTGAGAATTTTTAAAACCTCTTTTTTTAAAAAGAAAAAAATATTTGTAAGAGATTGGATTTGATTCATCATCAATGATATGTATGAATGCCATCCTAAGTCGTTAAAAGCTTGACATTTTTCGGTATGATTTTAGAATGCTGAATGGGCATTTTAATGTGTGACATATTACAAACAGCAAATTTCCGGCTCTTGTCATCTCTTCATTTATAAGCTAAATAAACGTCTTATTTTTTTGTGAAGGAGAATAAATTTTTCGAGAAAGTAAATTCAGATCACACAGTAAAATTGCAAGAAACCTTTAAATATATTAAAAGATAAATCTGTGTATATGACGAGATAATCTCAAATTGCTTGCCGTGAAAATTAACAAACAGTTGTGTATAAACCTACGCACACATAAATAAATTTGCCCCCCCCCCCTCATTAACTAGTACTACCCATTTAAAGGTTTAAATGGGAAAGTCCCTTTGATCAAACGTGGATTAAGATGACCTTTATAGTATGTACGATATAAACATACGCCATCAGTTATTTAAAAAGACAACAGCAAAAGACAAAAAAATGTACAACCATCTGAAAACTGAAAAATTAAATGTGTACGATAAACTGGACAAGTGAATATTACGTCACTATAAAACAGCATGACGTCAGATAGGGATTTCCCCGTCCATCATCAATAACATCATAAATTACATTCATTAACACCATGTTGTCAGCCAGTACCTAATAATATAAATAGCACCTGCTGAGACTCTAGAGTAATCAGGGTCTAATAAACCTCTAATTTCTACATTTATAGTACCTTTAAATAGTATTCTACAAGGTCCAGGAAAAAAATTCAAATAAAATACCATATTGTTTTAAACTGAGTAAATATTTAATTGCAGTAGACCCATCTGGTATAATATATCATTAATCAGATCCAGATCTATATTATCATATTTCGTTTTCTTATGAAATCATAGACTGTCTGGTGCACGACATCTGTCACAAATTAAATGGTTATGCATGCAAGGGACATTTTGTCATAA